GAGAGAGCGATTTTGTTCGCGAAATAAACAGAGATGGGTAGTGAGGATGGTTAGAAGGTTTCAACGAACAAAAGAGATGGACGAAGAAGATACACTAGCGGCGTCGTGTGAGTTACAAAGTTCAGAATCCTAATTTCGTTTTTCCCCTTAATCAGTAGCTAAGTGCAGTTTAAGAAGTTTGGGCTTGGTTGTTGTTAATCCCTAAGCCCATTCTCGTTTTGATAGCCATACCCCCCCTTTGGCTTGTTTTGTTACAACAAACATTTTTTTTCTTCTTTTGGGCCTCATCCCTAAATCACTTAAGCCCATGCGTTTTTTTGATTTGTTTTCTTCTTACATTCTTTTTTTTGCTATGCAAATTACTAATAAAACATATAATATATTTTTATTAATTTGATTTAGGTTTTGTAATTAATTTTTATCATTTTATTTTTTTTAATAAATTTTGTTTTAGATTTAATTGACATAATAAAACACCAAAAAATAATAATTTAGTTTGTTTGCTTTCTTTAGATTTTACTTAAGTTATTGAAATACAAAAAATAAAGAATATAACTTAATCAATTATTTTATTTTCTAGAATAGGTTTTACTTTTCTCTTTTCAAGTAAATACTTAACATTTCATTTCCATATTTTGTTGATTTTATTTTCATGGATTATCATAGCTTTATATAAATCACACAAAATTCGATTTGGTTGTATTGTTTGATTCATCCTCATTTGTAAAAATTGTACCCCTATTCCCGAATACTTTATAATAGCGTAGAATTTCAATTCCCGCAATTTACTGTATTCCATATACTATATAGTAATTAGGCGTGTATGGAAAGATTCAAAAATCAATCGCTAGATGACCTAATCAAAGAATAAAATAACTTGAAACCAACACACTTTTTCACACGCACACCTTTAGGGTAACCTCACTCGTTGCCTCGGAAATACAATCATGTCCCTCGAATATGGGACGCTCTAGCAATGACCCTTCGATAAAAAAGATCGTAGTCCCTCGATGACCCTCAATGTTACCTTCGATTAAAACGATCTCGTCCCTTACAAAAGTTGCTAAAGCGTCTCATAAGTTGCTTTCGATGATTGTGAAATTAACCCGCGCATGTCCCTTCACATCCAACGGTGGGGCTTCTTACCGAATCAATGGTAAGATAGCACCATTAAAAGGAGGAAGAAAAGAACAATTTAAGACCTTTTGAGTAGATAGATTCGCTCTTAGTTACTCGCTTGCTCACGACAAAAAACTTTTACACCTACACTCTCATTTCAAAACATTTTCAAAAAGACAAAACGTTTTGTATACGTTCTTATAGAGACGAGAACCATTGCAAAACATCTTTTCAAGACACTTTCCGAAACACGATTCGCAAACACATCTTTGAACTACTTTTCGAAACAAAACTTTGTACGCGTTCTTATAGAGACGAGAACCATTACAAAGAGATTTTTTCAAAATACTTTCAAAGCCCACACCACAAGCACACTGTCAAATGAAAGCAAGTGATCTAAACGAGTAACTAAGATCCCATGGAAAACCATGAATGAAAAGGGTGCTAATACCTTCCCTTTTCATAATCTACCCCCCGAACCCGAGAAATAATCTCGAAAGGTCTTTCCTGTGCTTTTTTACCTTTCCTTTTGGATAAAAGAAAAGTCGGTGACGACTCTTGCTATCCGTACAAATGCAATCGAAACGTAAAACAACAAGTCAGTTTTCCCACCGTATCACAGAACTGGCGACTCTGCTGGGGATCGACATGTTTTTCGTTTGTGGCTTGAAAGTAGAAGATAATTGAACACCATGGTACTACTTTGTCAGTTTTGTAAGGGGTATCAGATGACCTCTTAATTACTATTGTAGTTTTTGGTGCTACTGGTATCCTCAAAGTTTGCATTATTGTGGGATTTTCTGTTGAATATCCCCACGAGATCACGAGAGTATTCTTATCATGGTTTGGCCTTTGGTAAGGGATTACCAATGGCTTCTTTGCACTTTCTTCAATCGTTGCTATATACTCATCTTTGGGGTATAGTCTGAATTGGACTATCCCCTAGTCCACAAATTGTTGTAGGATTTTTTAGAAAGCCCCTTTGTGTACCAAAAGGAATCCACATTCTAACAGATATTCTTTTAATAGATTTATCAGAGCCTTTACTTGTCTGGCTGCCCCACAGTCGGTGACTACTTCGATTGCATTTATTGTTGGTCCACCATGCTGAGGCATGTGGTTTGATTTGATGTTCGGTTTCTCAAAAGTAAAGTCTTGGAAGTCTATCAAATCTTAACTTTGTGCTTGAAAGCCCAACATTGATCTATAGTATGCCCAAGTGAATTGGCATGGTATTCGCATTTGGCATTGGCATTGTATTTGGGAGGAAATGGCCTAACTGGAGGAGCTAGAGGTTTTAGCTCTACCAACATTGATTGACGTTGGATCAATTACTCGCGTTGTGCTCCATTGAATTTGTTTGGAAAAAAAGTCGACTTGACGTTGGATCAAATATTTTTGTTCTTTTTGTGAAAAGGTGAATTTTAAGATGTCAAGTTGTTAATTAATTCATTTAGAAACTAATTAATTAAAGGAAAAAAAGCATGTAAAATTATTACACTTCATGGAAATGGGGATGCATTTGTCCATTGGAAAATAATGAAGCACATAACAATTAAACAAGTGCTTATTCAATTAATTAATAAAAATCGATTTAACCAACTAATTAATAATCAATTATCTAAAATAAGTGGCTAAAGTTTAATTAGCTCAAATAATTAGTTTAATTAATATTAATTAGAGAAACTAATTAATTAAAATTAAATTAAATTAATTAAAAATAATAAAATAAAAGAGTAGAGAGTGTGTGGATCCTGTGGGTGTATGCAGTAAAAAAAAGAAGTTCATTGTTAGAAGGTTCAAGAGAAAGTCAAGACATTAGGAAAAAGGGGGTTGTGATGAAAGATTGGATGATGAGGCGTTAGATTAATACATGGGTGTCAGTTTGCAGCTAGAAGTATCATTTGAGCCCACACTGCAATGTCCCAATACTATCTCCTCTTGTTTGCTAAAGAAAAAGAAGGTGGTGTGATGGATTAGGCAATTTCTTAATACACCTTTATGACTTCTTAGAGACTCGTGGTAAAATGACAAAAATACCTTCTATTTTCAGAGATACATCTCTGAACGCACTCTTTTTCACAAAAAAACTTATTTTTGGAGATGCTTATATGAAATTACCCTATTTTTAACAAAAAAAAATATATTTTAGGATAACTCTCTCTCCGAGTAAACCTATTTTTTAAGGAAAATATGTTTTCAGATATGCATATCCGAAATTATCTTAGTTTTTAACCAAAAGAAAGTATTTTCAAACATGCATCTCCGAATAAACCTTATTTTTTTAACGAAAAAAAGTATTTTCGGATATTCATATCTGAAAAGTTCTCTGCTGTGAAAACCTCCAAAAAACCTCAAAAAATCTTACTCCCTCCGTCTCATATTAAGTGTCTCATTTGAGTTATGCGCGATTCTTAAAAAATAATTAGATGTGTTGATTTTAATGATAAAATTAATATCATTTATTAAAACACCTTATTTATTAGTTCGTAGAGTAGTCAAAAAACGTGAAAGCTAATAAATAAGGGTATAATAATGAGAAAAAATAATAAATGTGTATTGGTATTCTAAAGAGACATTTATTTTGAGACATATAAAAAGTGCAAATGAGACACTTATTATGAGATGAAGGGAGTAACTTGCAATGGTGAGTTTAGATCATCAGTTTTGAGCATTACTTCATAAGTATGCAGTTTTATTGATTGAAGATGGTAGAAGACAAAAATTCTTCCATTTTAAGCTATCATTTCGGTCATTAAATACCATGGAGTTGCCATTCTTCTCAAATATGTCAAAGTGGTTGACAAAAATTTGTGAATGCATTTTATCATGGATGTTATTTGACAATACAATGGGTTTAATAAAATTTTATGGGCAGAAGAATAACTTATTTTTTAATCAAATACTTTAATGTATCATAATCCATATTACAATTTCGTAGTTATCTTATCAACTCATATAATTGTAAGCTCCGAGTGTCTTGATTTTTATGATGTTGTGGCATTAAAGGTGATGACGATCTTGCAAATAATTTCTTTTCTATAACTTAAAAAAAAAACATAACACATAAGTTTTCAAATATCATATCCAAAAACATCTTTTTCGTAAAAATAAGATTTATCGGAGAAGCATATTCGAAAATAATTTTTTAACAATAAGATAATTTCAGATATGCATATTTAAAATTAATTTTTTTTTATAAAAATAATGCGTTCGGAAATATATCTATGAAAATAGAAATCATTTTTATCATTTCGTCAAAAACCTCTAAAAAAATATAATAGTGTATTAAGAAATTACCCTTGATTAACATAGGTGTGCAGTGCCTTGGGCCTAAAAAAACAACCAAGAGTGACCCAACAACCTACCTGGAACCACAAGAAATAGCAAAAAAAAATAAAAATAAAAATAAATAAAAAATAAAAGAACCAAAAAAGAAACAACACACGAGATTTTCCATTCTCCTCTTTCTTTCATCACTGTTACCTTCTCTCCATCTTTTTTGTTCAAAAAACCCGCTGCCCCCTCCGCCATGAGCTCCGGCGAGGGGCGGCCATTACGAAATACATGATGACACAAATTTTAACTTTGACTTTGATATATATATATATTTTTTTTGAAATAGACTTGAATTTAAATGAAAATGATGCAAAGTAAAATGTAAATTAACTTTAAAAAAAAATAATGAATACCAAAAATAGACAGTTGACTTTTTATCTAAGTTTTTTTCAAAAATAAAAAATAAAAAATAGTGCATCACATGAATGGAAAGGTTAAAATGAAATATGACAATATCCATAGAATAAGCTCCATAGTTTTCGGGCATGATTTCTCTGCAGTGGAGTTTTTATGGGAGGAAATCCAATGTCAATTTCCACCCTTCATGGCTTTCTAGTCAAAGACATGGTAATATTGGTGATCTTAGTTTTATCTTTGGGCATATGATCAACTGCATTTTTCATAAAGCGGTTAAAAGCCTCTTTAGTGACACTTTCACCAAAATGACCAATTAGCATAGGTTCAGCCACAGCCCTAAAACAGTTTGATGTATTGTGTCCACCATCTTTGACTGATTCAGGCTTTTTAGATGTAAACTCTGAACCGTCCCAGTTATCAAGCTCACTGAAATTCACTTCAGAAGTCTCCAAATAATTTATGTCAAATGATCCTTGTGTGTCGATTTCCTTCTTCACTTCAGCTTCAGATGGATAATATATAGGGATGTTGAAACTGCTCACATTTTCTTCTATTATGATTCCCTACACCATATATTGAATAAGTTCATTGTTTTAAAATAAGCCTCTGTGATCTAACGTATTCATTAAGACCTAATATATAGACTAGATACTAACAAAGGTTTTAATTAGTTTTAAATTGCAGTGCACAATTGGAATTGTGGTCCCAATATTGCTGATCTCGTAGTCTCTTCCATGATTTTAAATTGTACTCCGCAATCGCAATTGCGACTACAATATTGTTGATAAGGTAGTCTCCACATCTGCATTGGACTACAATAAAATTTGATCCAAACAACTTTTCCTGTGTTTCTTCACGTATTTTCATCAAAACTCTAAATTTGAGAATCCAGAAACTCAATTTACAATACTTTGCGATGTCAAATGCTAATATTAAGAGATTTTTAATGGTGTTTTTCAAATATCTCCCAATCAAAATTTACACCACAACGACCGCAATACACCTCACAACAACTAGAATGACTGCAATCGCAACACACAACCGCATTCGCGACTGCAATTTAAACCATGATTTCTACAACCGCATCAAACCGCAATTGTAGTGTGAATTTAAACCATGTATACCATCGTCAATAGAAATTTCATCAAACAATTTCGTCCACTTTCAAATGTTTTTATCAAAATTCAAAATTTTCGAATTAAAAAATTTAATCTAATTCCTATGTAATGAAAAATCATAGCATCTCGTGTCTCTAAGATATATATTTCAAACCCATCCTAATTGAAATTCACGCCTCAATAGTCGTAATGCACATAATAACAATTACGATGACCATAATTGTGATTGTAACCGCAACTATGGTTATTATTATGGTTTTAAATTGCACACCATGTCACGTTTTAAATTGTGGACCGCATCACGTGATGGGACCACAATATTGCATTTGCAGTAGTGTCTTTATTTGAATCAGGTCGTTTACAGTGTGATTGTAAATCACAATAACACCGTCATGGTTGATTCATAACCCCGCAAGGGCCACATCATGCTGCAAGTGATTATGCAATGCTTGTAAAAATTACTTGGTCTACCTTTCTTTATGTTTATATTATAGATTTAAGATATATTTTAAAAGGAATGGTGAATTGTTAATGAAATATATATATATATATATATATATATATATATATATATATATATATATATATATATATATATATATATATATATATATATATATATATATGAAAATTTAAAGAGAAAATGGAAGTCATGGAAAACATAAAATAAATAATAAATAATAGAGTATATTATTTCATGTTTATAAAATATAAATTTAGGTCGAACGCACCAACGACAATAGCGGCAACTGTCGTGGTCCCAACCGAAACCGCATCCACAACCACAACCGTTATCATAATTTAAAACTATTATTATTATAAATGGTTAGTTATTATGAAAATGACCACAACAAAACGATATTGAAACACGTCGATAGTGATATTGTTATTTAACATTTTTTGATTAGTTCATACCGCAACGACACAATCAATATTGCAACATCTATACCGATTGAAATTGCGAAAGTGTTTACCCAATAAAGCCTTTCATAACCCATCGTGATCTAGCATATTGTCATTACTAAATATATCATTGTTTACCTGTTTGACCATATCATTAAGACCCATAGACATGGTATCCCAAACGACACAACAATCTTTGCAAACTGGATCCTCGCCAATTCTTCCTATTAAAGTTACAACCAAACGACCCCCTTCAACTAATTCTTCAGCACGACACTTTAGAAAGAAAGAAAAATCACTTCTATATTGTTCAAGGTATGCTTTAAAAACATTTGGAGGACTTGTCTTAGACAAGTAAATGTTGCCTTTGTTGTTGTCTACACCATCCGGAACCTAATTCATCACCAATCAACAAACTTCAACTATATTCCACCAATCAATATGATTAAAACAAATATCATGCAAACAAACATAAACAAACCTTGGACAGAAACTGAAGACTATACGAAGAATGTACAAAATGCAAACTTTTATTAGGAAAAAGCTTATCGAAAAAGGAACCAGGAGCTCCAAAGAAATATAAAGGACCCATTTGATTTTTCACTTCACTAATAAGATTTCTCTTGAACGCGTCGAAAGACAAAAACACATTGTTGAAGTCGTTCCCTGGTAGATCATTCAAGAATACTTTATATTCTGGAGATTTTTGTTTCTGTTCTTCACAAAACTTTTCCACAGCTTTGATAGCTTCTGCGATCACCAAAAAAGTGTTTGGGCCATAAGAACAACCCAAATCTGCAATTCCTATGCTTTCTGGCTTTGTGTTGCGGTAGACATTGGTTATAGCTTCGTCTCTCAGAGATTTTGTCAAAGAAATAACCTTTCTCTGTACATATATATACATTCAATGAATAAAAGTTAGAGCAAAATTAGGGCTCACTTACATGCATTAAAATGTATATCTATATATGAACACATACCTGAAGTAAGGAGTTGTTTGCATAACCTTCTTCTCCGTCGCCACCTTTCATGTGTAATACCTGTTTTAAATCCATTATTGTTTCTTTTATCTTGTTTTGACAGTTCTTTTGTTTGAATAACTATGTTTTGAAAATGAGCCAGTGTAGTATATATATATATATATATATATATATATATATATATATATATATATATGGATGCATCATGCATGTGTAATCACATGTGAAAGTTACTAAAAATATATATATCCATTTTAGATTGAGTAAAACTCGTTCAAGAGTTACGGTTTCCGAGAGTGATGCGTTGACAAGAGTTCAAATCAAGTTAAGGAAAATTGAGGTGAAAGTGGAGGAATGCAATTAGGATAATAGTTTAAATTTATTGAATTATAATGAGGATGTTAAAAAAATGAGGGAAGTTTTGTCAAACGATAATCTTTCACGTGTTCATTACTGTTACTAAAAAAAACAACGACTCAATACTCAATGGTGGAATTGGAATTATTATTTTTTATTGGAGCTAGAAAACAATTAAACGTAAATTATTATTATTATTATTATTATTATTATTATTATTATTATTATTATTATTATTATTATTATTATTATTATTATTATTATTATTATTATTATTATTATTATTATTATTATTATTATTATTATTATTATTATTAATAATAATAATAATAATAATAATAATAATAATAATAATAATTATTATTATTATTATAATAATAATAATAATAATAATAATAATAATAATAATTATTATTATTATTATTATTATTATAATAATAATAATAATAATAATAATAATTATTGTTATTATTATTATTATTATTATTATAATAATAATAATTATTATTATTATAATAAAATTAGTATAAAATGAGCCATGTATACAAGAGAGAGATTTTTATAGTAGGGGATATATTGATTTTGCTTGCCAGTTAGCTTGATACAAAACTAAACTTTGAAAGCCTAATAAATATTGACGGAGATTTTAATTAGCTATGTAATTATTAATCAACGCTTAAACTATAAAGATGTACCTGCAAAAATTTATAAAGAGAATTGAAAAGTAGAGTGAAAAATTAGAGCAAAATTTTTTAAAGAGAATTGAAAAATAGAGTGAAAAAATAATAATATTTAAATAGTCATCATATTTTTTTCAATTACATCTTTTTATAAAATTAATAAATTTATGTTAATGATATTTAAGATGAAAAGTGTATTGGTGATACAAATATTTTTTATAAACGAGAAAAAATATATTGTTAATACAAAAAAAATTTATAAACAGAAAAAAGTGAATTGTTGATGCAAATATTTTTATAAGCTGGAAAAAGTTAATTGTTGATACAAATATTATTATAAATGGGAAATACTTTAATGTTGATACAAGAAAATTATATAAACAAAAAAAAATGTATTGTTGATATATATATTTTTATAAACAAAAAAAATATATTGTTATACAAAAAATTTAATAAACGGGAAAAAGAGTATTGTTGATACAATTATTTTTATAAACGAGAAAAAATCTACTGTTGATACAAAAAATTGTATAAACGGAAAAAATTATATTGTTGATATAAATATTTTTATAAATAAGAAAGTCTATTGTTTATAAAATATTTTTATAAACAAATAAAAATATGTTGTTGATGCAAATATTTTTTTAAATAAAAAAAATTATATTGTTGATTCGAATATTTTTATAAAAAAAAAATTATTTTTGATACAAATATTTTTATAATTGAAAAATAAAATAATAAATTAGTGATATAAATATTTTTACAAACAACAATTGATATCTAAAAAAAAAAGTACACGTACCAGATAAACGCGCAGGTTTATTTACTAGTTGTTACCTAAAAAAACAACGACTCAATATTCAATGGTAGAATTTGAATTATTATTTTTTATTGGAGCTAGAAAACGTTCTCTGTATTTAACTAAATTATTAATAAAATATTATAAACTACATAACTATAATGAAAAAAAGCAAACTAAAATATGTAACTTGGTTGATTAAACTAAATAAATCTCATCTTAAAAAAGTAATTGTGAAGGAATGTATAAGTAGTCATAAATTAAATCCAGTATTAGGCTAGTGGCACTACTATAAAAAAGGATATGATTTCGGATGCGAAAGTAATTTAATCTCGGTTATAAAGGTGAGATAATGAAGAGCGTCATAAAATTTTATTATTTTACTTCTCGTTTATTATAAAATCGTGGAGAAAAGTGTTTTTCACATGGATTCGATCACCGACAACAATATTTTTATTATTTTGAAAATTATGTGCGCGCACCACATACCTCTCGATTTTTATAAACAAGCATGAGAAATACTCCCATATTTACGTCAGATTGTGTTAATAACCGAGTGGTTTGACTAAGTTTTTTTGTTTTTGTTTTAATTCAATTTTGATTGACTTGGATTTTTTTTACATAGAACCTACAAATTATGTGACAGAATCAGATCATTTATACTTTATACAGAGCATAACACAGAATACCAAATTTACATTATTTGCAAAACCAAATATACAACACTTACAATATTTATAATGATATTTGGGATACACCTACATATTTAAACATAAACATATTTACACCTATAATGTCAAAACATCTATACAAAGCTAATGTATAGATGTAAATCTAGAAAAACTACCGTTTACTAGATTCAATATAAGATAGGAAGGAACTCATCCAACGTGATTAGATTTCTTTTATATCTTCTTGTGGAAATGGTGTTTCTTCGTTAAACCCCTATAATTTAAACATAATTTAAATTATGATAAGCTAACAACATCAATATTAACTTAACAATATACATAAATTACATGTATATGGATAGTTAATACCTTAGTCCATGAATTAATAATGTCTCTAGAGACAATATTGAACATATTTCTCATCACATAGTATCTATATTCATAGTTTTGAATTGTTTATGCGACTACAAATAATTTTGATATAGTTAATAATTAATATACACAAAGCACAAGTAATACATTAGCAAAAATAAAAGAATTTCAAAAAGCACAAGTAATACTTAGATGTGATTATATGAACGTTGGTTTTTTACCAGCTAAATTGCATGTCATATAAGTGTATCCCTTCATAGCTCTACATGTAGGTAAAGATTATACATAAATAAAAATCATTCAAATGAATAAAAATTATTCAAAACTAAAGATAAAATTTGAGCACTACAAATAATACCACTTACCCGCTCAAAATCTTTTGCATTTCTTTATCAAGATTATAGTGTTACGCCAGATGATAAAACAGATGACAAAACATCACACCTAGCAATGATATTGAGAATCAAACAGGATAACAAACAGATGCGATGGCAAAACATCGGCTTCAAACAAATGTGCGATGGCGAAACATCGACTAAAAGGTAATAAGATAACATGGTAAAGATGACGAAACATCAAAAAAGCGGATGGCAAAACATCACACCTAACAATGATATTGGGAATCAAAGTAGGATAACAAACATGCGCGATGGCGAAACATCAGCTTCAAACAAGTGTGCGATGGCGAAACATTGGCTAAGAGGTAATAAGATAACATGGTAAAGATGACGAAACATCAATAAAGCAGATGACAAAACATCACACCTAACAATGATATTGGGAATCAAAGTAGGATAACAAACATGCACGATGGCGAAACATCGGCTTCAAACAAGTGTGCGATGGCAAAACATCGGCTAAGAGGTTTAAAAGCATAGCCAAGAGGCACATAGACAAAGTAAGATTGGTTTGTATCTTTTACTCTGAAGAAGGATTTGAGTTTATTAGAAATGTCTTATGATTTGCCAAGAAAACAAATTTGTTTTAAGACGCAGAATGCATAGAAAGCAAAAACAACTAAGGGAAACTAACCTAGTACTATCCCTAGTGTTATCATACAGTGATTGATCCTAAGGTTGAGGATAAAGGAAAACCCTACCTTAATTAACATGATAAAGGAAGCTTAAAAATACTATCCTATAGGGAGCATGCAATGAGAGCGAAGTCGTGATCTCAATTTCTAAATTGAGTGACTCATCGATCAACAATTAAAGAAGAAAAGCAATAAACATCCTATAGGGAACATGCACTAAGAGCGAAGTCGTGATCTCAATTTCTAAATTGAGTGACTCATCGATCAATAATTAAAGAAGAAAAGCAATAAACATCCTATAGGGAACATGCAATGAGAGCGAAGTCGTGATCTCAATTTCTAAATTGAGTGACTCATCGGTCAAAAACAAATACAACACATTCATCAGACAAAAAAAAAAACAGAGGGCCTCCTGACATATATCAACAACAAAGATCCCATCATGCAAACAGAGAACTATGCAAAATGAAAATGGAAGAAAGGAGATAGTGCAATACCAAACGGATAACTATCCGTAGCAACTGAGCAAGAATAAAAGAAACCCAGAGAACTTCAAGCGAGCTGGCATTAATAGACAAATTAAGTCAGAAATTACGCCATCAAGATATAAGTACTGAGATTTTCAGATATGAACTGATCCCATGGGAAATATATATAATTCACAATCACATGTATATAACCTGCATAGAATATTAAACATGCCAAACACAATAGCAGTGCCAGTATAATAAGTTGTGTTCCCCAAATAAAGTGAAACACGGTAGCCTCAAGCCAAAAGTGGAAACTTTCTCAAAGTACCTCGCACATTCAACAAACAAGTTAGTATTCCATAAGGTGAATGATGACTCACATAAGGGATGGATGCAACATGATGAAGTGAGAACAACATGATAACAATTATCAAACATTAGACATGATAGACAAGAGGAAATAGGCATATGCACAACTTGGTCAAAAGAATCAGAGGAAAGTTGCTCCTTTCTATCACCATATTGAATTGACAATTGAATGTAAATCAAGGATCATAGGAGCTTGAAAAGAATACAATCAAAGACCATGGAGGTCAGGGGCAAACACATCTCAATCATGTACAATTAATTCAAACACAACTCACAAGCACAATAGAAGATGAATTCCACACAATGCATTAGAAGGTTCAAACA